CACTCTAAACCAACACCCCGGGGTGCCTAGATACCTCTTCTAAGTTTTACAACAGTTCCGGTCATGTGACTTCTTTGTTCAATACTGTATATATATATATATCCGTGTAAGTGTAAATTACTTGTACCTGATGATGACAAAACCTTGTGAAACGTTGTACATTTGCTGTTATGTTAAACTTATATTAAAGTTTTTCTTCATTACACATTCAAGCCGTCTCCAGCCATTATTAGTCTCAAAGTGGGTTCCTCGTCATCGAATATTTTCTGTATATTCTCATGTAGACTTTGGAAAAACAGTTATATCGCTTTGTTTCTGTAATTTTTTCCTGCTTATTCTTAGAGCTCATCTTTATTTTGTCTTCAGAATATCCACTGTGAAGGAGGTTCGTAGTGATGTGTTCTACTTATCCCCTCTTTGCATATTCTGTAAAACAAATGTTGTTAATTCTAGAAATTAGATAGTTTATGACACCTGTATTTACACTGTTGGTGTGTTTTGATTTGTAGCTGAAGTATTTACCTATATATGGTACAAATGTGGTAACTATTTCGTCTAGGAATGGTTGCCGTCTTTTTCTCTTTCCAAGGTGAGTTTTATGATTGGAAGTTGTCTGCTCAGATAGCTTATAAAACCTTAAACTTTGTGTGTAGTGTGTGTTTGGCCGTATTACGAATGTGTCTTCAATATTTCAGCTAAATTCTGGATCTTAGAGCGGATGTTTTAAGGGCGTTAATTTCGACATGTTACATGTAGAGATTACTAAGTATTGGTGATAAGGGTGAATCCATGGTTAGGCCTTACCGTAGTTGGTGGTATTTATGTTCATGTTAGAAGAAAGTTTTATTGATACGGATTGTTTAAAACCTAAACACGCAATATCTTATTATTTTTCTACTTTAGCTACTAAACATATTTATATCATAATCTCCACATTATACACCCTTAGTTCCTCCTTACCATTATTTAATAATAAAAATACCAGACGAAAACAAAAGTGAATATACCCAAACGTTGTCCTAATACTCTTCCCGCCAACATAGACTTTCTCTAAAAAATCATTGAAATGTGAATACTGAACCGACAGGTAAATTACTTGAGACCGCAATAACTGGAGGTTTTTTAGAACTTGGTTGAAGAACGCGAATAAGTCAACTTCGACTAAAAGAAAAAATAGACTGACATGCTTGGTGCTTTCCAAACAAATAATACAATGTGTTGATAAATAAAAACAATAACTAGTGTTAAACTAAAGTCTTATTTGTTTACACTGCAACTGTAATTCACTTCAAAAC